CTGGTGAGGAGTTGCATTCGTTTGGAAGGGGAGAAGTGCTCTGATTTTTAGAATTTTCAGCTTTTCTGCTCTGTTTTTTCCCCATCTTTGTGGTTTTATCTGCCTTTGGCCTTTGATGATGGTGATGTACAGATGGGGTTTTGGTGTGGATGTCCTTTCTGTTTGTTAGTTTTCCTTCTAACATTCAGGCCCTCAGCTGCGGGTCTCTTGGAATTCACTGGATGTCCACTCCAGACGCTGTTTGCCTGAGTATCAGCAGCGGAGGCTGCAGAGCAAATGTTGCTGCCTGATCTTTCCTCTGGAAGTTTTGTCTCAGAGGGGTACCTGGCCATGTGAGGTGTCAGTCTGCCCTTACTAGGGGGTGCCTCCCAGTTAGGCTACTCGGGGGTCAGGGACCCACTTAAGGAGGCAGTCTGTCTGTTCTCAGATCTCAAACTCCATGCTGGGAGAACCACTACTCTCTTCAAAGCTGTCAGACAGGGACATTTAAGTCTGCAGAGGTTTCTGCTGTCTTTTGTTCAGCTATGCCCTGCCCCTAGAAGTGGAGTCTATAGAGGCAGGCAGGCCTCCTTGAGCTGCGGTGGTCTCCACCCAGTTTGAGCTTCCTGGCAGCTTTGTTTACCTACTGAAGCCTCAGCAATGGTAGGCACCCCTCCCCCAGCCTTGCTACCGCTTTGCAGTTTGATCTCAGACTGCTGTGTTAGCAATGAGCTAGGCTCCATGGGCATGGGGTCCTCCAAGCCAGGCGTGGGATATAATCTCCTGGTGTGCCATTTGCTAAGACTGTTGGAAAAGCGCAGTATTAGGGTGGGAGTGACCTGATTTTCCAGGTGCTGTGTGTCATGGTTTCCCTTGGCTAGGAAAGGGAATTCCCTGACCCCTTGTGCTTCCTGGGTGAGGCAATGCCTCGCCCTGCTTTGGCTCACACTTAGTGGGCTGCACCCATTGTCCTGCACCCACTGTCTGACAAGCCCCAGTGAGATGAACCCGGTACCTCAGTTGGAAATGCAGAAATCACCCATCTTCTGTGTCACTCATGCTGGGAGCTGTAGATTGGAGCTGTTCCTATTCGGCCATCTTGGAACCACCTATCAGCAGCATTTTTCAACATAGCACTCTTCATGAACACATTTCTTAAAGATTAGAAAATAAGCCATCATATAGCCATATATTAATTTATTTAGTCATTTCCCTACACTTAGACTTTTAGGTTGTTTCTAACTTAGAGCTATTCTAAATAATGCTGCAAGAAACATCTCTATGTGTGTAACTTTGCTATTTTTAAACTTGCTTCTTTGGGATAGATTTGCGAACAGAGCATTCCGCAGTGGACATTTTGAGGTTTCTGATATGTAGTTACAACTGGCTGTATGAATACTCCTATAATCTGATGCCCCAAGATGCCGCAGAGTCCTTTACCAGGTCACCCAGTAGTTGACCCCCTCAGAACCCATAGCTCTGGGCAGAGGAGGAGGAAAGAGATGCTGGCAGAGATGTATAGGAAGGTGGAAGGCTTGGCAAAAAAGAGTACTGCCATGTTGGTCTTGGTTGCGCCACCATGGTTAAATACCATCTTGTCACTTTCAATACTTTGGGCTCAGTAGCATAAGATCATTTATTTGGCTTTTATAACATTCTACTCCCCTGACTGTAAAGTGCTACACATTAGGTTTTTTTTGTTGTTTTTTTTGATGAATTAATTCTGAAGGCTAGAGACATTTGAGATTCTGTGGCTCCCTGAGATGCTGTAAATCCAGAGCTGGGAATTGTGCCTGCAGTGGCAGAAGCTGCCAGGTCACCAGATGGCAACAGAGTGGAGGTCCAGCCGCTGCCTTTGGTCCTGAAAGTTCAGATGCTTTCTGGCTGCCCACCGTTCCACACTTGGTGGGACAAGAGCATTAACCTTTCTTCCGTGATGCAGTCAGATCTCATTTCCTTTAGTAATTATGCTAAAATCTCTAGCTTTAGGAATTAAGACAACAATTAGCCAACCTCCCAGAGATTTATTTCTTTGGCCCTGTCTTAAAATAAGGGATTGCACAACTGTAACCTCAGCCAGGCCCTTTCTCTGAGTCAGGGTCTGGTCCGTGATATGACCATGGAAGGATGAGAAATGAAACAGAAGAATAGAGCCAGACATAAATTATTAACAATAATAAAAACTTTAAAAATATGCTATTTTAAAATGTGTATATTAATCCAATGCAAGCCTTCCTAAAAAGAAATGTCTGTTTGTGAATCACACACAAGCAAGGCCTTCCCATTTCATATTTCTGTGGTCTTCCATAAAAGTCATAGTAGGAAACACTCCCTAATGGCACTTGGAAGAGAAATCACTGCCTCCGAGGAAGTGGAAAAAGGAAAACTGTTTCCAAATATTGGAACTCTTGAATATACAGATAGTCAAGATGGAATTCTTGTTTTTTGATTTTTTTTAGAAATGAGCTATCGTTATGTTATCCATACTGAGCATGAACCTCTGGGCTGAAGAGATTCTTCTGCTTCAGCCTCCCAAATAGCTGAGAATAGAGGTACATCACCACACCCGGACAAGATGGAGTTTTTTTTTTTTTTTTAGTTGTTTTTCTTTTTCAACTTTTATTTTAGATTCAGAGGGTACATGTGCAGGTTTGTTTTGTGGGTATATTTTGTGATGCTGAGGTTTGGGATACAAATGGTCCCATCATCCAGGTACTGACCAGGTGCTGACTTCCTCATTTCCTCTCTCCCCAAGCTCTCCATTCTCTACTGGCTCAGTTTCTAGCATTTCAGTATCTTCTTTCCTGCTAAAGAACTTGTCCAAGTAACGAGTGTAAGTGTTTTCCTTCTCAACTTGTTCATCCTTCCTTACCTCACAAAACTGAGTGACCTCAGAAAACTGACTGACCATGTAAGTTTTTCAATCTTGGCCTTCCCCCCGTAGTCCCCAGTGTCTGTTGTTGCCGTCTTTATGTCCATGTGTATCTGATGTTTAGCTCCCACTTATAAGTGAGTATATGCGGTATCTGGTTTTTCTATTCCTGCTTTAATTCACTTAGGATAATGGCCTCCATCTGCAACCATGTTGCAGCAAAGGACATGATTTTATTATTTTTTTCTTTTTTGGCTGTGTAGGATTCTGTGATGTATATGTACCACATTTTCTTTATCAAATCCACTGTTGATGGACACCCAGGTTGATTCCATGACTTTGCTATTGTGAATGGTACTGTAATGAACCTGCAAGTGCATGTGTCTTTTGGTAGGACAATTTGTTTTCTTTTGAACATATACCCACTAATGGGATTGCTGGGCTGAATGGCAGTTCTAAGTTCCTTGAGAAATCCCAAACTGCTCTTCATAGTGATGGAACTAATTTACATCCCCATAAGTGGTGTGTAAGCGTTCCCTTTTCTCTGCAGTCTTGCCAACATCTATTGTTTTTTGACTTTTTAATAATGGTCATTCTGACTGTGTGAGATGGTATCTCATTGTGGTTTTGATTTGTATTTTTCTGATAATTAGTGATGATGTGCAATTTTTCATGTTTTTTGGCTACTTGTATGTCTTTTTTTGAGAAGTACCTGTCCATGCCTTTTGCCCCATTTTAATGGGGCTATTTGTTTTCTGCTTGTTCAACTGTTTAAGTAAAGATGGAGTTTTTATTTAACATATTTAAAGATGAACTCACTGAAAATTAAGCCACAAAGTTGGTCCTCTTTATGCATCCGTTTTGTTGACAGCCTTACCCAGAGCATACTTCTCTCTAAAGGGCTGAAGCATTCTTGATATTACACAGAGCAGTGCCTATAAAATTTAATGTGCACATCACTTGGGAATATTGTTTAAATATGGATTCTGATTCAGTGGGTCTTGGGTGGGGCCTAGGATTCTGCATTGCTAACAAACTCCTAGATGATGCTGATGCTTCTGGTTTGTGGATCAAAGCCTGAATAGCAAAGACATAGGCAATGATGAAGTCCAGTTTCTAGAAGACGTTGAACACTCTGCTACTGATTCTCTGAGCTCAAAACATTAAGGCCTGTTTCCTGGAGCTTCCTGAGTGATCAAGAGAGATCCTCTTTCTAGCTGTGATTCATGGTGTGAATAAGGGCAAATATCTCCTTTCCCCTCCTAGGTCAACCACTGAGAACATGTTGCAAACTCTCTCTTGGTGGAGTTTAAATAATGAAGTGATGTCTTGATCTGCCGATGTTTCAATAGCTGAGTACTTCCTTATGAAATCAATCTGAACCCAACCAACAATGGCATTGATTATTCCCTAAGGCCATCATCTCTAGCCCACACACTTCATATAATATAGGAGACTCTCCCAATCTTATTAACTAACCTCAGCCCGTACTTCCTCCCTGCTTCCACTGGAAGTAATTATCCTGCTGGGATTTCTAAGTCACTGTGTTTATCATTGCCTAAAGATTTTTCAGAAAAGAATAGGATTAATAAGTGTCAGAGCCAGCTTTCTTAATTTTTATTATAATGCAAAAGGAAAAGAAACCAGGTGGCATTTGCATTCATATTTGTAGTCTCACTGGAATTTGGGGTTCAAGAATGAAGCTAAATCTGGCAGATCAGGACTGAGTGACCTGCTCAATATTGTAATTACCTGCGAGTTTATCATATGATGGAAAAATGTTCCTGAGATAATTTTTTTGTTTGTTCATTTAACCTAATTTTATTCATGCTTGCCTTGGCATGGGGAATAGATCATTCAGTAAAAACATACAGTGAAAACAAAATGTCTTATCATGTGCAACTTTTAAACTACAATAATGATGTACCTTAATTACTTTCATGCACACAAGTCTAACATTCTTTTTTTTTTTTAATAAACACAATTAAGACTTCTAGGAGTATTTTATAATAAAGTAATTCCTAATTAATTTTTCTTTGTAGATAGATCAAGCACCTCCAAAATACAAATTCCTATACACAGTGAGCATGTTACTTAAAATGAACACTTAAATTAAGTACGTGGACAGTCTTAAGATAAGCTTACATTATAGATTCAGCTAGGAAGGCAACAGACCATAGTGCCAAATGGAAAAAGTGTATTTGCAAATAAATTTTAAAAACTAAGTTAATTTTTATAATTAAATGCAGAAAATATACTGATTTACTAAAATAAGTAAGATGCGATGTATTAACACTTCACTATAAAGAATGCACACCAGAACATTTATAAACAGTGAATGAGTCTTATTAAGAATAGTTTACTACAATAAACCCTGGCTAAATAGAAGTACATATTGTGAAGCACTATGGTGGTATATGTTTTGCCACATACTCTTGTTACCTTGAGGTAGATAACACATGCGTACCAAATTTGGCATTCATTTTCAGTTGCTGCTGGTATTATGTGTTTTAAGAAAAGTGTACACTATGAAAAACTTGAAAATACTCATGAATGAAAAATGTCTTAGAAAAAAATAGCTATTTTCATGCAATTATGTACAGTCTCACTGTGTAAATTTCAAGGCAAGGTTTGTTTCCTGTAAAACAGATCACTGTTCTATGAGAGAATGTTCTTTACTTGTCTTAGTGCATTTCTTTTCTCCTCCTGCGTTGCATTATTTTGCTCTAGTCTTTATTTTTGTGTGCAAATGACATGCCAGTTAAAATAAAAACTATCTCACATGTAGAAAAAGAAAGTCTGGATTTTAAAAACCGAGAACTAATAAAATCCTTACTAAATGACACCATCTGATTCAAGTAAAAAATGACTTAAACATAGTAATAAAAAAAGACAAAACACATTTCATGAAGAATACAAAGATAAATGTCTGCTGAGTGTTTTAGTTCAGATGTTTCAGAATGCTGCTGTATGTTTTATGAGGAATTTGAGGGGAAGATTTCATAGCAGAAGGTGTTAATGTGGCCTGTATTGACTTAAGTGGTGACCTAACTGGACTGCGAAACTGTGGGATGTCTATGGACTCCAGCTGCTTGTTAAAAAGGAACTTCCCACTGTTGTTCAGAAATCCTTCCTCATTTCCTCTCTCCCCAAGCTCTCCATTCTCTACTGGCTCAGTTTCTAGCATTTCAGTATCTTCCTTCCTGCTAAAGAACTTGTCCAAGTAACGAGTGTAAGTGTTTTCCTTCTCAACTTGTTCATCCTTCCTTACCTCACACAACTGATTGATGAGATAACAGTCCTCCCCACCACTCACAAACTGGCTGTCCCAAGAAGACTGGTACAAGGTTTCTAATTGAGCCAGATTTGCCATTCCTTTTTCCTGTTTTTCTTGGCTTACTGACTTTGATATCAAACTTTTCAATTCTAGTTGGGACACTGAGCTATTCAAGTCATTTAATTTATCAACAACATCAGTAGGCTCATGTTGGGAACTAAGTTGAATAGTTCCTGCAATAAAGGAATCAAAATCAAATCCCTGATTCTTTTCTCTGTCTTTTCCAGCCACTTGCTGTGATGCTTCCTCTAGTGCTGTCTGGGCTTTAACCAATCCATTCCTTTCACGTTTTGATTTGCCTTATCAGATTTTTCTTTGCTTGTTCTTTCCAATTGGAAAGATCTATAATAAGGTTGGGTTCACAGTAATGGTTCACTCTGTGTCTCCAAACTAAGTTATCTAAATATGATGATGACCTCGTTTTGTAGTTACAAGTATGGCTACACTCCAGATCACAATATTTGTTTTCATGATCATCTGGGTACTGCCAACAAGGCTCAGTAGAGTAATTGGTACAAAAGCAGGATCCTCCAGATACTTTTCCTGATCTCCATCCAAATATTTTCAGGGGTCGACCTGTACTTCTTCATCAGTGGCATCAGACAGAGCTCTTGGATCAAGCTGAACTTCATCAATGTCAAAGTTGTTATGTATAGGCCAATCATTGCCAATCATATTGCCTTTTCCTTTAGAATTATTGAACTTGTGTAAACAAGGAAGAAAACTGGCATCGAAAGGAAAGATCTTTCAAAAAGAGAGAAGAAAAATAATTATGCTTTCACAGCATGATAGTTTCTTGATGTTCATTGCAGACACCAAACAGACCTGTTGAGTTCCCCTTAGATTTGAAGCTCAAAAAGTTCTACTCATATTGAGAATTAAAAAGATTGCAGTACTCATAGTTCAAGAAAGGGGCAGCAACTCTGCAGATATTTAAATAAAACACTCAAGAAACTCAAACGGAATGAGATGATACACTATGCACTCAGATTACTGTGCTAAACGATTTAACAAATATGTGAATAAATGTGCACACAACAGGCTTCTGTGAACATTCTCCTCACAGTGCATATACATTCAGTGTTGGACTGATCCTGAGCAGCATCGTTCTAAGGTGCTGGTAAGCACTATTTCTGTTTTGCTTCTTTTCTTCCTTTGTTGCTGTATATTTCTTTCTTTTTTTTTTTTTTTAGACGGAGTCTTGCTCTGTCTCCCAGGCTGGAGTGCAGTGGCCGGATCTCAGCTCACTGCAAGCTCCTCCTCCCGGGTTCACGCCATTCTCCTGCCTCAGCCTCCCGCGTAGCTGGACTACAGGCACCCGCCACCTCGCCCGGCTAGTTTTTTTTTGTATTTTTTAGTAGAGACGGTGTTTCACCGTGTTAGCCAGGATGGTCTCGATCTCCTGACCTCGTGATCCGCCCGTCTTGGCCTCCCAAAGTGCTAGGATTACAGGCGTGAGCCACCGCGCCCGGCCTGTTGCTGTGTATTTCAACAGGAAGCCCTGGCGGCTGTTGGTTAACAGAAGGTGTCTTTTGTTAGTGTTCAGGTGGTTCCAGCTCACCACAATCACAATCAAAGCTACCATTCATCTTACTCTGATTCAGTGGGACTTCTCCGACTCATCCAGAGAGTGCAGGGACCGGACAGCCCCCAGCGTCCCGGCTCAGGTCTCCAGCTGTGCTGGCGGCAGTGGCGTCTCCAAGGCTCTCGCTCTGGCTTTGCCGCAGTCACCGCCATGTAACCGTGTCCTGCGAGAGAGCGCTTCCGAGGTAATCTTAAGTGAAAAGGGACTCTGCAAATTGTGAAGACAGTATTGTCTTCTGCAAATTGTGAAAACCACAACTTTGGTAAAAGTTTGAATGCCATGTGAGGGAAGAAAAACTGGAAGGAAAACACTAAATGATAAACTCAACTAAACTGGTTGAGTTTAAACAGGAAAATATGAATATGCTTTCCCTTTACAATTTTTTGTGCTTTTTACTGTTTTTATAATGAGCAAGTATTGACATTGCAATTGAAAAGAAAATCTGGACTCTAAAAAACACTGTTAATGGGCCAGGTGCAGTGGCTCACACTTGTAATCTCAGCGCTTTGGGAGATGGATCGCTTGAGCTCAGGAGTTTGAGACCAGCCTGGGCAACATGGTGAAACCCGTCTCTACAAAACATACAGAAATTAGCCGGGCTGGTGCCTGTAGTTCCAGCTACTTGGGATGCTGAGGTGTAAGCACCACTTGAGCCCAGGAGGTGGAAGCTGCAGTGAGCCGTGATTGTGCCACTGCACTCCGGCCTGCATGACAGAGTGAGACCGTCTCAACAACAACAAAAAGACAACAAAAAGACACTCAGTTAAGAGACCTTAACTTCTGTCTGATTTGTTAACCATGTCAGTGTTCTTTCTTTTGTTTTATTCTTTGGTCTGTCTTCTCTGCCTATTCAGAGCTGAGGGTTCTCCCTGCACCTGTCGGAAGTCATCTGTACTCTGAAACCACTGTGAAGGCAGGGACTGCTTACGTCTCTCTCCAGCAAGATCAGGTTAGTTCTCTAAGGGTAGTGAGGAAACAATTCTCTTGACCTCAAATAAATATTAAGGCCCAGCCCTGCATAAGGTGAGGCCTCCTAGGAGGTGGTAACTGTGCCCCACAGAGGCAGGGGGCCTGGGGCACACCTTCAGGGGCCCATAGGACACCCTTGACTCTTCTTCCCTTACTACCCAAAGCCAATCTGTCCCAGCCCAACTGACCGTGCCTGTGTAATGCTCTGCATGGGTCCCTCCTTCCTAGGCCTCACTGGTAAAACCTCCATTCACTGGGGTGTTTATGGGAGCTCACCAGTTCCCCAACCAGCCTCCACAATGACCTTTCTTTTCCTTCCTTTCTCCTTTCCTTTCCTTTTTTTTTCTTTTCTCCTTTCTCTCTTTTCCCTCCCTTCCTCCCTCTGTCTCCCTTTCTCTCTCCCCCCCCTTTTTTCCCCCTTTTCTCCCTTTCTTTCTTTCCCAGGCTGCAGTGCAGTGCCAAGATTTAGGCTCACTGCAACCTCCACCTCCCAGATTCAAGCAATTCTCCTGCCCCAGCCTCCAGAATAGCTGGGGTTACAGGCACTTACCACCACGCCTGGCTTTTTGGGTTTTTTTGTTTTTTTTTTTGAGATGGAGTCTCGCTCTATTGTCCAGGCTGGAGTGCAGTGGCATGATCTCAGCTCACTGCAACCTCTGCCTTCCAGGTTCAAGCAATTCTCCTGCCTCAGCCTCCTGAGTAGCTGGGATTACAGGGGCAAGCCACCACGCCCGGCTAATATTTTATTTTAGTAGAGATGAGATTTCACTCTATTGGCCAGGCTAGTTTCAAATTCCTGACCTCAAGTGATCCGCCCGCCTCAGCCTCTCAAAGTGCTAGGACTACAGGTGTGACCACTGTGCCTAGCCAGAATGACTTTTCTACAAAATCTGACTGCGTCCCCTGCTGAAACCCTGAAGAGGCCCTAGAGCGGTTTGAGGACTGAAATGTCAGCTAGAACGTTTGAGACCCTTGGCTGGACCTGGCTATCTCCAAGTCCTGCCTTGGAGCACTTGATGCCGGCCACAGAGAACCCCCTTCCCTCCACCCAGTCTCGCCAGACACCGCAGACCCTTGCTTGCGCCCCAGGCCTTGGTCCACAACACTCCCCTCACTCCATTATCCTTTCCCTCTCGCCCGGAGAGGGCGAGAAGGTCCAGGAAAGCCTCCCTGATGCATTTGCCTCAGAAGCGCAGGCGCGGGGGTCTCCACGCTTCAGGGACCGCTGGCATTTTTCCGGGGCTTCCCGGGGAAGATTTCCTGCGGTGGGCGCGGGCCTGGCCTACAGGCTCAGCATCAAGAACCGTTCGCGTCCGCCTCGTCTCGCACCTTCCCCAGCGGGGCGCGGCCGCGGCAGGAGGTTGAGGAGCGGAGCCCAGGGCTGCCGCGCGGCTCTGGCCTCCTAGAGGGACGTGGACCAGGCGGGGAGCGAACGGGGAGGTCCCGCGCGTCTGGCCCCCTGCCAAGGTGGCTGCCCCTAGCCCGCACGCAGCCCAGGCCACTCCACACCCGCTCTCGCAGCCTCTCCCCGCCGCCCCGGGACACGACCCCGCGTCCCCTCGCGCGGCTTCTGTCTGCGCTGGGACACACAGCCGGGAAAACTTGTTCAGCCCCCGGGAATCTCCGCCCCTCCGAGGGCCTCCCAGCGCCAGGTTTCAGAAACCGATGTCGGCTCCTCTCAGCTCCCAGTCCAGTGCGCAGGCGGCGGCGTGTGCTCGCCCTGGGTCGAGAGGGGGTGACCCGAGGTGCCTGGCCACGCGGGGTCCAAACCCGGAGTGGCGACGAAGGAGACGCAGAAAGAGGAAGTGTCCTGAGAGCCGGGCTAGACAGGCGTGGGCTCCCCGCCCCTTGGGGACTCCGCAGGAGGGCACCGCCCCCGGCCAGGCCTGCTCTGAGAGGGGCTTCCCGCCGGGGCTAGGAGGGCTGGGGCGAGGTCCGGAGCATGCAGCCGCCTGTGAGGGGACGGGCAGGGATGCGTGGCCCTCAGCCCGAGGGCAAGCGATGGCCTGGATGCTGTTTTTTGAAGTCCAAAATCTTGGCTGTGCTCCCCGGGGGGGGTTCGCTCCAGTAGGTGAGCGGCCTCAGTTGCTCCAGGGGAGGCGACAGCAGAGGTTTAAGGGGCTGAATTTGCTTTTGAATCCTGCCGCCTCCAAACGGAAACTCGAGTCCCTGCTGTCTCTATGTCCTGCCCACCTGGACTGGGGCTGGTGGAAAGGCCCGCTGCAATGGAGCTGGAGGACGGGATCAGATGGTTGCCTTAGGGGCTCCATCTTCCGGGGAGGAAAACCACGGGTATTCTGGAGGTTGGGGCCCAAAGGCCAAGGCTGGGAGCAGAAGAGGCCTGTGGGAGGCAGTGGTGGAGGCTCAGAGCTTGTCAGAGGGCCTCGGCAGTCTCGTGGAGAAGCTGACCATCCGGGCCTAGGATCAAAACATGCTGTGTCAGAGGAGGCGCCTTCTGCACTTTGGGGCACCCACAGATGGTTTTTAATATGTTGCAGGTCTTGGTCAACTTGATATTCTTAAGGTGGTAAAACTCCCCTTTCAAAGGTTTCTTTGTCAAATAATGAAATGTTCTAAAATTGCATGGTCGGTTGCACAACTCTATGGATATGCTTAAAAAAGAATTGAATGATACATTTTATATGGGTGAATTGTATGGTATGTGAATTATATCTCCATAAAGCTGAACCCAGTAACAGACCCACACAAATGTGCTCAACTGATTTTTTGACAAAAGTGCAAAAGCAATTCAATAGGGGAAGAACAGCCTTTCAACAAATGGTATTGGGGCAATGAGCTGTCCATAGGTGAAAAAAAGAATTTCAGCCTAAGTTTCACACTTTATACAAAAATTAAAGGATAATATACTAAAATGCAAAATGTAAAACAATAAAACTTTTAGAAAAATGGGATAAAATCTTCAGGATCTAGGGTGAGGTGAAAAAATCTCAGACTAAACACCAAAAACATGAGCCATAAAATGAAAAATTGATATACTGGATTTCATCAGAACTGAAAATTTTTGCTCAATGCACAACCCTACTAAGAGGATGAACAGAGAAGCTACAGGCCGATAGAAAATATTTGCAAATCACGTATCTGACAGTCTAGCATCTAGAATATGCAAAGAGCTCTCAGACTAGCATCTAGAATATGCAAAGAGCTCTCAGACTCAACAGAAAGAAAAG